AGAGTGGTGTTCGGTCGACCATTCGCAGCACCTCCGTTTTCCTCGGTGTGCTTTGTCCAGCAGTTGGCTTGGTGGGAAAGAACCTACACTGGTTCTTTCCGATGTTGGGAATGCTTCGGCGTTGGGGTGTCTCGTTGAATTGGCATTGAATATTAACTGGTAGCCGGTGGTGGACGTCGTGACTTTGTGGCATAAGTCGCCCTCGGTTCGTCAGATGCCTCTTTTCTTGAAGAAGTTTTCAGTTGAAATGCCTGTCGAACTTGTTCCGAAGCAATCACAGCAATCAAAATAAAAGCTAGTCAACTGATGGCAGAAAGTAGCTTCCTGATCTCCTCCCGGACAACAATGTGGATGATGTTACAGATGCCTGGGAGTCTGGCGTCGAAGTTTCAGCTGGATGACTTGAGTGTCGAGACGCTGGGGAATTGTTGACAGTGACAGGCTCGGCCTGCAATGTACATTCTATGTTGGAAGTCTCGGTGATACGAACCCTTCGACTGTTGTCGTGGGGTTGCGGACAAGGCTGCCAAAGGTGCTGTCCCTTACATGAGAACCTTGGGATTCTTATCTTCTCGTCTTCTGTAGCACCAGGGTTGGCGTGGGGGCTCGATCAGGCGCAAAACATTCTCCACAAAGGCAGCGACGCTTTTGTTGGGGCCGTGTCCTGGACAGAATCAGGAATTCGGCTCTCTCTTGTCAATGTTGGCTGATGAACGTGCACGTCAGCTTGATCTTGCCGACTCCCCATGACGTTGAGGAGGGTTTGTGGTTCTCAAACAAGTGCCTGATAGTTTCTTCCACGAGAAGTATAGGTTCTGCAGGAGCTGGTTGTCTGTCCACCCACTGTGGTGGGCAACACGGTCATATTGTTCAATCCAGCCCTCGACATCTTCATATACCATGCGTGAAAGGGCGTCGGAGGTGCGACGGGCATACAAACAATGGTGGGAGTGGACGCGGTTCACTGCTACAAGTTTGTCATTGTTGGCTTAGTCAGCTTCGGATATTTCTCGCAAAAGAACGAATCCCGGTGGTTCCTGCTGGTAGCAGCGACCGACTCGGATTTCAGGTTCTTCGTGGTGTATTTTTGAGGTTCGTCCTTGTGGTACTTGCGGTCTTTCTGCCGGGCTCGGGGTAGTTATTGGTTCACGGCTCGTCAAGGGTTTGAGACGCAAGATAGTCCGCCACCCGTGCCCCGTTATCGGGCAACTCGGCTGAAGAGCCGCCAAGGTGCACACTGAGTGAAGAGCTATGGGTAAAGTACCCAGGACCTCCACCAGAACATACTATGACAGCTGAGCATGGCCTGGAACTTTCCAGAATAGTAAATATTGATAGAAGATAGGACTGGAGCAAGCACCCGTGACATATAACAAAACGGACAGAAGAAAGACTACCCTGACCACTAAAGAAGCTGCATTGCTTTAGTGGCATTCTGTCCGAATAAATTCTCTCCCTCAGGGTTTGGCGACTGCCGTGGGCGAACTGAACTGAAATGGATGTGGGACCACTTTTCTGGTAATGAGCCGCTGCAGACTGTTGTCGCAAAGCGGCGTGAACGGGTGGACTGGGTGGGTATCACGCGCAATGAAATGTCCATACGGCTTGTAATTCGCGTAACGAGTGTTGATGAAACTTTTGTGTCGACGAAGCGTGCGACAGACCAGCGGAATCAATATCAACTGCAACACTTGTGCTCCGTGAAAGTGCACGTTTACGCCGGAACAATTTGGGAAGCAGCACAGCATCACCTAAAGCATGGCACAGGAACTACGAGCTTGAAGGCAGGTCTTCGGTACGCCGCACACCTGTGCTCCGTGAAAGTGCACGTCTACACAATTTGGGAAGCAGCACAGCATCATTTAGCACGGCACGGCCACTAACAGCTTCAAGGCAGGTCTCCGGTGCGCCGCACAACCAAAGTGAGCCTTCGGTCATTTGAACGAAGCGGCACCACGATTGCCCACTGCCAAGCACGACTGACACAATTCCCGTCGCTAAACTGTGTGTCCAAATATATTGCACACGCTTCACCGGAGACCTCGAAGATTCCGATAGTCAACCAGAGCACAGAAACGTCGCCTTAAATTTTATCCTAGCGGTATCCGAATCAATCCGAGGTCCGAGCAACGTAGGGCAGATTCTTCCCTGGCAATATGCCCGTCGGTCACCAGCGAAATGCACACCGTTCCTCCGTGTTTCCACGTTATACCTACGTCGGACACCACGCTGGACTCTGAAGTCGCTTTCGACCGGCTTCATATGACGGCTTCCGCGTCTGAAATCAACTCGCCGAGACGAACGACAACCAACAAAGAATCCGACAAGCTCCGGCCCAGCTGGGGCCAGCCGCTGCATGGGCGCTGCCATCTTCCCTGTGACGTCACGTATTTTGTTTGGTCATGTGACGAGTAGTCAAATTTGCGTACAATGGCAGCCGCCTTATGGGGCTCACTTTCGAGTGCAGACCGGAACCCCGGTTTATCGCTCTAAGCCCCTCCACTTCGTTGGTCCACACCGACGATGCGATCTAGTCGCGCGATAACTTCCAACGCAAAAGCGACGATCGCGGAAAAAAAGTAACACGATTTGAGCAGTCGCTACATAACCCGACGTTTTGCGATGCGATCTACATCGTGGAGTGGCTGAGCCAATCAGCGGCGTTCCGAGCGAGAGTGCTCGCGAAGCGACTTGCCAACGAAGGCCTTGAACTCGCTCATCGCGCACGTCAGAGTAACCATCTATTTTTTTTTTTTTTTTTGCGATGCGACTTAGTCACATTTCGCGACCGCTTTACATCGCCGGTGTGCACGCGCCTTAAATCAACATGGCAGTCGTCGCGTCGGTGGCGATGCGTGTTTTGGAGGTCGGCTACACGGTTATGCGTATAAGACCGAACCAGAACACATTTTTTACAACCTCGCATGATTTTTGAACAAATTAATCATTACACTACGTGTAAATTTAAGCTAATTTGTTTAAATAACGTGTTTTCACCCCAAATATTCACCAAATACACGGGACTTGCTATCAGTGTACCCCGTGACAAGGCAATTTTATAGGTGACCCCCATGGCACACTCACGAAACTTAGTGGTATGAAAATTCCTTGTCATGTGGTAGGGTTCAAGTGGACCAGACGGGAAGGTCCATCGATGATAGTATTAGAGTGTACTCAGCTGCCACCAGGCGATCCCCGTCTGGCCATTTGGCTGTACACTGCGACTGATGGGAATGGCCAACCGGAGTTCCACAAAACTAATATAGCGGAAAGATTCAAAACGCCACTGGAGCGTGAAATACATGAGGCCTTCATCATAAGGGCCCATGGTCCGAATGTTTGTATCAGCGCTCCCTCCATCGCCCTCTCCGATAAGGAGCAGGCCTTTATCAGTCAAGGTTCAGACACCCATCAATGACGTCTGACTTCTATTTTTTTATAGTTAAATATATCCTCTGTACGCATGTGCGGTTTTAATTTTTTTTTTTTGTGTGTGTGTGTGTTCTATTAAAATTAAGTTGCAAGTTACGCTCTGTCTTGTGTGCCTCTCTTCTCTGTCCTCGTTTTTTTTTTTTTTTTTTGGGGGGGGGGGGTATTTTTCATTACGTATCCGAACCATCTAGCCCAACCTATGCTTAATGCTTTCTGTTTAAAATTATGGACAGGTTTCGTTTTCTGCTTGTTTACTCCAGTTCTGACATCAAAGGAAATAACAAACCCAGCAGAGTATTTAAGGGTTATTGATAGTAATAGCAATAATAATTAATTGAGATTTTTCAGAAGTTTTTATGTTATAGCTAGATTGTGTTCACTGCAGAAACGTCAGAGGGCGTTCACGTGATGAAGAATAGTAAAATAGCATTTTGGCGGTAGTTCATTGAGAAATTATCAAACAGCCACGATTTTTATACAAAATGGGCGTTGTTCGATATCAGGGTTTTGGACGTTTGGCATGGAATGACCCGCCAGGGTTTATGCGGTCTACTGAGTTCTGCCGTCGGCGGAGTCCCTCACAATACCCTTTTTCTTCACCAATACACAAAATAGCCAATATCTAAACGTATATGCAGACTAATGAGAAAAATGGCAGAAAATTGGCATTAGCATGGCCACACTTAGTTTTCCGGAAACGGAAATTTGTTTGGTGAAGCCGCCATATTTTTTATGTCAACCCTCGCATCAGGGCTCCCTCGCGTATGGCACCTCACTCCCACTGGCTGGTGTAAGAATCACGTGACCATAGCGAAAATCAAATGGTGCTCTCGTCGAATGTCACAGTATGAGTCTCGGAGCACATACAATACAACGAAAATTTAATGACCCAAAACGTATTTTACGTATGGCGATTTTGCCAGGTGTGACCAAACCACCTCACGTCAAAATTGTTTTGAACAATTTGAAAGGCTTCCTTTCGTACGGTAACACAACATTATTGCAGAAAACATTACCTTCCCATTCCCCGAACCTCGTCACTGTCGTTTCACGGTACGTAAGAAATGTAACTGTTAACTCTAAAAACGTATTAAAAAGAAAAAAAAAGCCTTAGCTCTTTCCGTCACTGCTCTTGACTACTGAGACAGTCATGCAACTCATTTGTGCACAGTTTCCGCTCGCCTGACTTAAATAACATCTGTCATAAACAACTGAATAAAACTAAGCAAGAGCTAGTATTTTGCTGGTAGACATTTTTATCAAAAAACTTTTCATTGTCAATACGAGGATTTAGAAAATTGTCTCATTTTTCACTATTACTAATGCAGTGACATGTCGGAATCTGGACCTATGCATTGCCTCTGGGAAGTGCTATATACGCTGAATTATTGGGTGGGTAATCCCCGTTGCTCTTGTACTCAAACTGTTCAAACTTTGTTTAATAAACGTAGGCATATTTTGACCCATCTTTTACATTAATGCTATTCCCAGGAGAAGGAAACTTAACCCCACAAATAATTCCGAGATAATTACTTATGTTACTTGTCTTGCTAATTTCAGCCACTTACCAGTTCAGGCTCTACGGTGCTTGAGGACTCCACTCCGTAATCATCGGGGTAATCATACGTATAATTATAATCTGGAAAATCTGGCAGGTCTAACCCCCAGTCATAGATTTTCTGGCGACAAATCGACAAAATTATAATCAAAGGTCTGACAAGAAAAATACCAGAATGAGTTCTATCGAAAAACAATCGCAATGGCGCTATGCTTTAGTTGACTGTCAGTTTATTTATCACACACAAATTAGTTCCGGTGAGGCAAACAGGATGCGGGATGTGACAACTTCTGCTCAACAAACTTAGTGATTCATTCGAAGCTCGGCAGCAGGATGAAACCTTCAAAGACAATTTTGTTACATTAGCTTGTTTAAAGCTTTTGAATTTTTACTTTGTCTCTGAACTGGACAAACGACAAAGCCTTTGGTGTAATAGCGATAATCGACAAAAATTATCGCCAACCCCAATTTACACGAAACTTCGATTACAGACCAAGGAGTAATATTAGAAACACGCAATCGGGAATGCATTTTTGGGTTCAAAGAAAATGGGAACGGCGTGTCTTGGTCACATTGTGCGCCACATGAAGCCTAACTGGGTAATAAGAAAAAAAAGAAGCTTCTTTGTGGGAAGGGAAGATCTATTGAGTATGTTTATCAGCACTCAGTGTCGCAGCGTGGCGCAGCCTGTCTACCAATTCATTTGCTACACTGTTCACATTTCTTTAGTACACAGTTGTATTTCTCACGTATAGAGGCTCGAACAAGTAGGTACTTTGAAGGTGACTGTAATGGGAACTTCATTGTCGGCTGTCAAACAGTTTAGTTAGGTTAACAATTGTGGCAAGTTCTAAACGTTTTACAAATACCAACTTCCCGCTAGAGCTTCAGCTTTCATAATTATTATTATAAAACTGTATAATTATATATAACGTCATTAAAACCTTATGTTACGTATAACTACATTTAATTATATAAAATGCTTTATAGTTGTAAGAAACGCCAATAAATGAACACTGTGATTTTCAAGTAGGCACAAACACGCAATAAATGAAATTGATGTTTTCGCATTAAATGTTATTGCCTTGCATGACATAACACTAATGTTAAAATAGAACACCGGTTGCGTTATAGGGCTTTTTCGTAAATATACAACGTGAAGAATTAAATAATCTCACAAAACAATTTCTCTAGACGGCTGTGATTGTTAGTTTGTTCACAATTTCCTCGAATATTTTTTTGGTTTTCGCGTCTTTACGAAAGAAATAGGATTAATCAACAATTTTATCGTTGTAAGGTAAATTCCGCTTTATTTAGCCTTACTTTGTCAAAACTGAGCAAGAAATACTATAAAAGGCGACCATAACCAAGTGACGGTACCATATACCTAAACCCAACGTCAGCCTCATTCATCTCTAAGACTTGTTTGTTGTACAAGAAATGAGTACAAAGCACAAAGTAAAGTGTAACTACTCACGCAAGAAGACTGGACAAAAAAAATATATTACCCTTTTAAGTGAACAAAAAATGACGTCACTCAAATGTATTTGAAAGAAACAAAAAAGTCTAGGCAGTTTCAAAACTTTTAGCCATATTCCGTTTCATCTTGGGATAAACCACAGCGGAAGTCTCGGAGCCTCAACAGCAAGTCAAGCTTCAGTTTAAAAGTGACGTCACTTGGCTCGCCGGGTGTGGATCAGTGCGCGAGTCAAAATGATGCTGGCTTGAAGTCCGGCGTGGACGCGACGCGGATGAAGCGCTTTCGTCTGCTACATTCGAGAAAATTAGGACTTCGTTTAGTCTGCACAGTTTACTGCACAAGTTTGTCACTCTAAAAAACCCCGTACGTCTACTTTCCGGCACAACAATCGGAGAGCCAATCAGCGCATCTTACGGAGGAAGCTCAGCAAATGATGATGCCAAAACATATGTTTAGACCAAAAAACGCAGCTTGAGTTGTGACATCAAGCAATGCAAGCGTGACGTTTTGCATTTCTTAAAGACACAACACAGATTGATTTTTTTTGTAAACATTTGCTTTGGCATCGTCATTCACTGAGCTGCCTCCGTAAGGTACGCTGATTAGCGCTCCGAGTGTTGCGCTGGAAAGTAGATTCACGGGCTTTCTTTTCAGATAGTATATTTGATGTTCGTGGCTAAAACCTCTTGAAGTACCGAGCCTGACGCGCTGCTGTGGCGTCTCCTATTTGGGAGGGGGATCGGTGGGATGGTCGAGCGGAAGAAAGCTCCGAAGGAACTCGTCGCTACCCTTCTTGTTCCACTCAGAAAACTGGAGACTTCTTGGTCACGCCAGGAAACAGGTCGGCCTAGACCCCCAATGGAACTTCGACTCCAACCTGACGGCCTCGCGAAATGTCTCGCCTGCATACACTTGCAGTCCAGGGCTTGTGTGTCTGATTCAAAGTGCCTATGCCGACTACTCACTTTATTAATACTCAACCACAGAGAGCTTTCCAGTTGCATTTTTTTTCAACATTTAGTATAGCTTAGACGTTTTTTGGACGGTCGCTTTTTATACGACTCGCTCGCAGGGTGAGAACGACATTTGTGGTACTGGTACACGTGTAGCACGATCTGCCGCGCTTCTCTTCCAAGTGTGGATTTTTTGGAAAGACTGTCTGGAAGCGGGCGGGTGAAGGAAACAGGAGCAGCTGGCGGAGTAAGCTGCTCCTGCCTGCGAAACTAAGAGCCAAGTTACATTTGTCAGGTGACTTTTTAAACAAATGGCAAGACCATTTTAAAGTTTACATTACTACTTCGAATAAATATCTAATTTAATTTTAGTTTGTACCTAATAGCTTTTCAATAAAAAAAAAAACTTCCATCTCGAAAAAGATTTTTTTTTTTCGCAGTACATCACACCACACATAGTGCCTTTAGTGTTGATTGGACTAACGTGTTTGCAACGACAGCGTTAAAAAACAGGAGTGTAATTCCTTCAAATATGCTGATATTTATTTATTCAATATCACGTTTCGGAGATTTATTGGAACATAAATATCGTATCACTCGTGCAAAACACGAACATTACTTTAAGGAAAAAGACTACGCTCTTTTTACCATCGAAGTCTTTGACGCCTACTCTGCGATGCCTAAGAATGCCTTGCCAGTGCCGTGTCGCAGCTACTAGCCTTCCATTACGCTTGAACACAAGATGAAACGAAGTATGGTATTTCTTTTGAAGCCAGTGGTACATATTTGTTTATGCGTACTTCGTTATTTTTTAAGACAAAAGCTCTAGCTTTTTTAATAATGTAAATGACGATTGAACTAAGAAGGGTCGACAGCACAAGAATGCAAGGCAGCCGAAATGAGGTTTAAATGATTATTTACACGGGACGTAAGTTTACAGATCTCTCCTCCCCACAAAAAATTTCACAAAAGATGCCAAGAATGGGATAAAACCAAAAACACAGCAGAGCCTATTTTGTATAATATTTATGGCAATTTTTTTTTTTTGAACATGCTGGTCAGTAATTTACTTCGAACTGAACAAGATCACTACGGCTTCTGATATGTCTGAAGCTTAAAGTATTTGACTAAAACGCAGTGTCAGTGTCGTCAAACACATCCACCTTTAAAAATATATTAAAATCCTGCATCTGTGGTATTTGAGACAAAATTTCCAAAGATTACTGAGTTTTTAAATGGTACACTCTCAGAAAAAAGGGTATATTCTTACACCCGTTGTCCCATATGCGACACCCCAAAAAGGGGTTTGAGAACGTTAATATATACCTCATTAAACAGCTAAACTACGCATCGAAAACTACAGCAGAAAAAAACACTGAGGTTTCGGAGTAGGGCCAAGAAAACCCCGATTACTTTTTTTTTTTTTCGTAGTCAATAATTCGTACATTAGCTATTTTAATAAGTTGTACCACTTGGCTATCAAACCGCTTGTGAATGTTGGTACCGTTGGGTCGACTTCAGCGCGCTGTTCGTCAAACTGAAGTTCTGGGGTGTTATATGGGTTTTTACAGTGTGGTTGTGGAAACAATGTATATTCTGAAACTAGTTTAAAAAAAAAAACATAGTAATTTATTTCCCCGCTGGCTCAGCTTCCCGCTATTAGTTCTGGATCTTTAACTGAAACAAAAATTAAACATGTTAGAGGGGCGCCAGACCAATTACTGAAGTGATAAAATTCAAGAATTTGATGTTCAAGATGTTCAATGTGGGGGTGGGGGGAGGCTGGGTAAAAATTCTTAACAAAGCCAGTTTTTTTGGTAAAAGTTCCCGTAACTGTAGCCGAACTGTTTGATTTCTCGGTTAGAATCCCCCCTCCCCCTCCCTACCCGCTCGCAGCAGGGGTCGACACCCAACATGCCGCTTGGGGTCCACCACTCTCCCTTCCTTAGACGGAGAGATGCGCTGCGAGGAGGTGACGGAAGAGGAGGACATGATGCCGCCCACTCAAGAGCCGACTGTGCATGAGCCCTGGCCACCGACATGCCTGCTATAGACAAGAAGACTCTGGAGCAGGACGGCCAGGACGGATGCCAAATCGTATGTAACAGTCAGTTTAATAAATTACACCGTTACTACACACACTAAACATTTTCACACCATTATAGGAGTGAATGAGGCGTTCCATAACGAACATCTTAACCAGTGTAGCGATACACCTAATAAAAAAAGTGTGAAGCTAACACTTAAAAAAAAGGTTTGATTTTTGTAACACTTTTACTAAAAGGTGTGATACTGCGGCACACATTTTTAGAAAGTTACTAAACCACACTCCACCTTTTTATAACCTGTAATTACCACAGTACACTTTTTTGTCGAGGTGCACACTGTGGCCCGGAAACCCATGAAATGACTGAGCAAATAAATCACCCAAACGAGTCGCCGAAGTAGCACCGCCGTGCTTGGCCAGTGTCGTGGGAACGTCGGCCGATAACCGGCTCCAGTCCCGGCCGAATGTACGGTTCTGAAGAAGGTCTCCCACATTCAACAAGAATCTCGCTGTCGCGGATGAGCAGTTTTTTGCCGAAACGCGTTTAACAAACACAACACAATACGAAGAAAGCGGCAATTACCTAAAAGTTCGTATGGACTTATTACTTCCGTTCACGACGAAAAACAATGGCCGTGACTGCAACGCACGAAAATCAGAACACTGAAGAGCGCATTCCGGAAACCGCGGATTTACGTGGCCCCCTGTCCATCGCCACAACTTCACATGCCGCTAAACGGATACGGCCCCAGTGAACCCATCAGTGCGTCAGAGTGAGTCGCGTGACACATTTCCGCCCAAAATTTTTCTCCTACAGATAGCGGTCACGTGTTTCTCTCCACCCTTCGATTTGCTCGAAGCGGTTGTCCCCCTCGCCCACAGCCACACGAAGAGACAAAAGGAGGCGGGGTGGCTTCACAAAAGGCGAGGTCGAACGGAAATATAGACGATGCAGCTAAGCTCCGTCTGCTTGCATTGTTTGTCCTTCTCAGACTAAAAGTAAACAAATTCTTTTTCTTTTACCTTATTTTTAAGATTGTCGTGAAATCCTTATACCCAACCAGCATAAGTGATTCCCAAACGCCACTTCCCAAACGCAACGACAAACGGCGGCCTTTACCTTATCAGAATGGCGTGGGCGCGACCTATCCGATACTTCACAGATATCGTCTGGATCACTACGGTACCGGCACAATCTTTCCGATTTGACGCTAATATCGTCGCAATACTGCGCGCATGCCGTGGGAGATGTACCTGTTCTGGGGCAGAAACAACACAGGGGGAGGCGGCTGTTCAGGAACGACGCCTTGCACTGACGAGCGCTGTTGGATGCACATATTTCGCATGCCGACGCTGCTGTGAAGGTTTTATAGGGTGCTGAATGATTAATTGCTACGGTCATTGAACCTTGAGCACAGCCAAGGAACGCTATAAAGTGTGAGATAGCACTATTGTCATCTATACGTATTAATCTAAGACGATCATTACCAAGTTTGGCTAACAGAATAAAGAAAGATGAGAAATATATCATGAGTGTATTGCATAGTGTCACCATTCCACATTTTTTACACGGTTTACGTTAAAGGTGTAATAAATAATACACCCATTCTACACGATATTTCTACCTGCAGGGTGTAGGAAAGATATAGGAAGTATTTAAATGACCTGTACTCCCTTGTTACACCGATATATATTTGAAAAGCGTGTAAAAATTGTGTAAGACGGGTGTAGCAAAGGTGTTCATTCCAAACTACACAGTTTTTACACGAATATAGGTGCGGAAATATTTAGTGTGCAGGGCGCATCTTGTTTCCTAGTGGGCTTCATTCGCATAAATAACTTTAAATCAGGTGATGAAACCCTGCGGTGTACTGACATGTCTTACGGAAGCGAACTACTCGCAGTCACGTTGAAGGAGAAGCGTTAGCTCAAAATCACGGTCGAATGCGAACGTGAACGATAGTTGTTGGTTCATCCAGAGCGAAACGACTAGCTTTATTATTCTTCAAAATTCTTCTAAACATATAATTTTGAGAAAAAAAATACTTGTACAAAATATTGACCTGGAGAACAGATAAAACATTTATAAATCATATCAAGCCTATTTAATCTTTGATGTGGTTTTATATGAAATCATACGTTACTGGAACAGATCCATATATCTTTAGACAAAGGATAATTTTAGTTTTATATGTATATGCTAAATATTTATAACACGGGGTACTGACGCGATTCTTATAAATATATGAAAGCGAACGCTACCTTTGTTAAATTTACTTCGAAGTCAAATATATCTTGAACAATCTTTGTCGTTACATTAATGTCCTCCTTTTCCGAAAACAAAATTACTGTTTGCTTGATGAAATTTTTATAGGCTTCCACAGCGCTGTCCTTTTCCTTTTGTGCCTCAGAAAGTTGATACGAACTGGGCACAAATTTTGCAGGTTCAATCTGAAAAATATGAAAAACAACCAAACCCAACATTGTAGATAAAATTTCTTCATAAAACAGCTGTTCTCTTAAAAGCACTTCCTGAAGCAAAATATTGACCACTAATACTTTTCGTAAGAGATTCAACCGTGTAAAAATTACACCCAATACGGTGTGCGAAATGAACAGCGCCATCAACTACCGCGCCGAGAAGTACGTCCGCTATATTGGTTGCGGCGAGAAAGTGAAGAAAGCGACCGGACCTTCGAGGGAGAGGCGGCTGCTCCGTGCAAGAGGTACGATGCCAAGGAATGTTGTGCTCGCCCATGTAAACAGCGGGAACATGACGCACAGGTAACCAAGGTTCCGTTTTCTTTATTTATTTATGCTTCTTACTTTTCACGCAGCTTTTTGTAATGCAGAATCAGCGACACGGCGAAGAAAGAGGTAATTCTCGTATGATGCGAGGCTATTTACATCTACTGGACTGACACCCGTCTTACTGAAAAAACTCTAAGCGCGCAGGCGAGCTCGTGGTAGCAATCATGTCGTTTAACACCTAAGACTGGTGCAGGAAAGAAAAAAACAGTACAGAACAAACTCCTTTAAAGGGTCGGCGAATCAGCGCACGCCAATAAGCGCAAGACGGCGAACTAAACCCCCGATTCTTTAAAGGAGTTGGTTCTGAAGCTCTTTAATCTGCCCGTGTGACTCGGGTATTAGTGTCGCAATAAAGGCCTTCAACAAACGTTTTTGAAGGGTCGTCGAGTCGGCTTGCGATCTCAGGTCTGCTTGTGCTCATCAGCGGGTGTTGGCTCCTAAAATTTTAATATGCGTTGAATGTTTATATAGTGCCCGTAAAGCATTTGTCTCGATCTACGAAATATTTTACCAAATTAAGTGTCTGAATTAGCTTTTTCTGTGCATGGTATAGCCAGACTGCTTTTCGCTTGATGCGACAACAGATGACCCTATATGCGCTAGAACAAGCATGTGAAAGCGAAGCAGCAAGAAGCTACACCTCACACACCTATGCCACAACCATAGTTCAAGACGTGCATTGTCAACAATGAGAGGCAAGAGCACAAAACACGTGTTCTTTACTTAATTACCTTTAATAAATAAAAAGAAACTCTTAAGACAGCTAGAAAACAATGCGTAGCAGTGATTCCAATACAGTTAGTTGACCTGGCGTCAGTAAAGGCAGATTCACACGAAGGACCGAATCGCGAATTTTGTCAGCAAGTCGTGTACCACGTGACCCCTACATCTCCAATTCATGCGATCCACGCCTGGTCCGCGGATGCGCGGACTGAAATGGCCGAGCGCGTTTTCGCTCGCGGATTCCTTGCGGGTGATTGTCTTTTGAAATGCGATTAGCCTGGCAATTTACAACGTCTTTTTTTTTTTTTTTGACAAACAAAACAAAGATGGCGCATTATTCTGTTTTGTGTTTTCGCTGGTTCATCTCGTCGCGCGATTCTTGGTACTACGAGTAAAATCAGCTGCAGAAACCTTGCCTGGCTGACGCGACGCAAAATCCGGTACTCCTGCAGGTCCGTGTGAAGATTCAAGTAGCTTCCGTCACAACTCGTTTAGCACGCCGCGATCTTTTTTGCACTTCTAATCGACTTTTCATCCAGCTAGCAAGTCCTTTTTTGTGACGGTGCTCTACCCGAGTGCCGTGTGCAAGCACGGAGTTCTTGAAGGCGTCTCCAAACGCCACTCCGCAAGTCCAAGACGTCGTCGCTTCTAGGCCTAAGCCTTCTCGTGCAGGACCATGCTTGGGTCACTGTTATGCCTTGGGTTATTAAAGATAGTGGCGGTTTGCGCCAAGTACATCAGGGTGTACTTTCTCGCACTGTACGAAACAGCGGCTGACGGTGATTCTTTTTCGCGGTAGCGACGTGTTCCTAGCAGTAAACGTCGATTTGGTCCTGGGACAACAGCGTCACACTGTGATGCTGGAACTCTGCGGCACAGTAGGGTCGCGAATAGGTTCAGTCCCTCGTGACTGTCATTTGCTGGTCGTCTCCTTCCTGTGCATGCGCTTGAGAGACGAACTTTCCGCGGACATGTCGTCAGGTGATCGCTCCGTCCGTTGATTCACCCGTTTTATGAATCGGTCATATACCAGTTTTGTAAAAACAACACTTCTAAAATCAAGTAGGTAAGAATTTAGAATGTATTTATGTAGAAAGGAAACCATTACAGATTGGGACGGCGTGTCTGTTCGCTCTAAACTCAGTCACAGAAAGGCGATTTTACTGTCGCTTTTGTTGAACACAAAGTTTGATTGCATGACTTGATTTGGTTCATCAAAGAAGCTAGAACTTCAATATTGGCGGCAGCACAAAAGTGACCTGATGCTAAAGGCGCCGAGCGGATCGGTGAAGCTAAAATTAATATCGCAACCTCTCTTTTTTGTTTCTTTCTTTTTTTCGCGGCTGAGATCAAAATTTTGTTTAATGCAAGGGAATTTTGTTGATAGGTTTAAAATGTCGCGTAGTACAACACCGATACCGAAATTCAGTCTTTCTACCAGGATCGGACAAATACTCGTTTTCCGGCACGGCGTCAGCGATTTGTGTTCTACTTATTTCGAAGTTATCTAAAATTGATTCGACCTGTTCGGAACACCTCAAAAATAATACCGAGGTGGCAGTTTGCTTGCCAGGAATTCAGAAATCTTCATCCATCGAGGCTTTCGCCAGTAAGAACCCCCCGAAACAAGCAACTTTGATTCGCATGAATGGGTATGGAGCTAGGATGGCGATCGATAGGTTGTTTTACCGCTACCGCGATTGATATGTGGCTTTACCGTTTTACCATCACGTCGAAAAGAAAGAAAAATGAAGTGTCATCAAAAAAGGCACGCCGGCCTAGTCCTTCGTCCTGGTTGGCTGATCACAAAGTTTCTGCATCTCACTCACAGAGGTAAATGCCAAGAGCCCGAAAGGCATATAGAATGTAAATGCCTTCTAAATGCCAAGAGTCTGAAACAAACATGATGCTACATGCATGGCCGCGCGCACAGTGTTACAAGGCCTCCTAGCAGTTTCATATATATATTTTCTATTGAGTCGTTTTGTTTTCAAGAAATCTGACAGGTAATGATTACGTTGCTTTACTTAATGCAAGCTTACATTTTCAATTCTGGGTGCAGTTTGCAAACATCACAGAGCAAATAGTAATATTTAGGACGCTACTTACGTAAATGGCTAGCTGCCACGTGTTAAAAATATGAGGTAAGAGATCAACGCTAAAAATAAACGACGTGTCTGCTCCAACTCGTATTTTTCGGTATATTTCTTTCCAGTCGATAGTTTCATTTGAACCAGGTATCATCGGCCATTTAGGGATGCCAAAATCTGTCAACGTTTTTCGTAGCCGGCTTATTTCTTCTTCTGGTTGGCACGAATCTGAAAATGTATCACAAGATATTACTAATGAAAGCCAGAAACTAAAATGTGTGCATGTTTAGCAATGGAGCTTTCTTTTAAAATTAGGAGAGACAAATAATTAGTAAAGTGCGATTTCATGAAAACGTGTGGATGTGCAGAGAGATATCTGCCATCAACTTAACAGCCTTTTTTCAACCTCGTTTTCTTATACTTAAGGATATTAATTCTAAATACGTACCTTCATTCATGCACGATTGATAGGCTATGGCAATTTTGTCATTAAGAGATTCAGCTTGATATGTTGGTGGGGTCATGTTGCTTAAGATTTCTGTAAAAGGCATAAGAAGAGAAGAGCTAATTGAGGAGGTTTGATTCGTTCATGCACCTATACGTTACAAAATGCTGTTTTTATAATTTCGGCCAGAACGTAATGTATTAAAGGGCAACTCCGATTAATTACGAAACGTCTGATATTACTGCTGATTATCATGTCAACACTACTTACAAACGGTTTTATGTCAATCATTTTCCACGTTCGATTGTCGTGATTTAGATTTTTTTATCCCACAATTACGTCATCAAGCTTTGCGAAGTCAAGAATGACGGAAAAAGTGCCATTTTATCCTCAAAACTTCACCGGGACAAAGAAGCATCTGAATCAGTGGCGGTCTGTGAGAGAACACTGGAGCCAGACTTGAACCAGTATTCGGCTCTGCAAATTTATGAACAGTCCAAACCGATATCGTCTCATGACCCTTTAATTTTTTCTAAATTGTCTCATCTATACTTTTCTTCATACTTAATGTACTACGTTGTTAAAGGGCAGCTCCGCCGTCAGTTTGAGCATTTGTATCAAAACATATTTTGAGAAAGGGTGCTGAAAACTTCGCCTATGGCGCAGCGGTTAAATCATTAAAAATTTGTTTACATAATTTATAATTGTTAAAATACGACTAAACCGATTCCGAAATTAACTTGCCACTTGGCTGGTTCGCCATTTGGACGTGACGTCACATATGATATAAACATTCACAGGTGTGCAGTTCGAGCTTTTCCTGCCTGGCAGGCAGGTCACTGTTTTGCGTTTGTGCCGCATATAGAAATGGAATTATCAGGCTCGTCTGAATCGAGCAATGATCAGGATGCGCTCCTAGATTTCGAGGACGATAACCTAGACGATAACCCGTTGTCATACGATTTACCGGAATCTCCACCAAGCGAATATATGCTGCGCGACCGTCAGAAATGGCTACTTTTGATGAACCTAAAAGAGCTTCACCAAGAATGGAAGACAGGCTCAAACCTAAACATTGGATTTCCACCTTTTGCCAATATATGCGCACTCCAACCTGTGTTTTAGCCGGGGCACACTCTTTGCGTATGCGTGCAGCACCAAAACTTGAAGCTAATGGTACACGCGAGTGAACTCAAGAAGAACACTGAAGAATTATTAGCCACCGCAGTGGGTCAAGTTTATGAAAAGGATTGTAATGTTGGTCAAGTGCGACGTGTGCCGCGGTACCAAATACATTGTAACCTCTCCAGAAAAGACCTGTCCTTAACACCAATCAGGTCGACCATGTTCAAGTTCAGCAGTGGATGAGCGCCGTGCGTTGCACGCTTGAGACAATTTTGTTAACAACAGATGAATTTTTTCGGACAAGTTGAATGAAGTCAAGGGTCACCATTTTATAACCATTTTATAGCTTTTTAACTACAGTTTCCTGCTACAAGACGCCCCGCAGCCTTATCACTGTGTCATCCCACCAGGCTGGACTCTGCCCTGTTATTTTTTTATTTTCGCCCAAGAATTCTGTGAAGTATAATCTGCCAGATCTTTTGCTGCCATTTCAGACTGCCGGAAACATGATACTCTAGCAATGTATGCATTCCATTGTGAGCTTCTGAAACTTCTAAAGAATGACCTGCCACAACTAATAAATATTTATTACTTTTCCGACGGAGCAGACTCACAGAACAAAAACAAAAATAACTTTCGAAACCTTTCTTTCACGATGAAGGCTTTAGTGTTTCGCTTGAATGGAAATTGTTCGCAACTTCCCACGGAAAACGTCTCTGCGATCTCATTGGAGGAAAGGTTAAACGTTTGGCGGAAAGAGCCAGCCTTCACAAACTGTACCAAGACCCAATATTCATTTCACTAGAGCTCATTACATGGGCGCAAAAAAAAACCCTACATGGTGTAAACATTTTATGGGTACCAAATTTTATCGTGAAAGAAATTTTAGACGAACTAGCTTGAAGATTCCAAACAGGAGTCGCCCCAAATGGTGCGCGGGATTCGCCACTTTAAGCCAATTTCAACTTAAGCGCTTTGTGTATCGATAACGTCGTACTAGGTGACTGAAGATGTTCAAGCGTCAAAAACGTCTGAAAACCACAACGTTTACTTAAAAACGAGATTTTCAAAGATATTTTATGAAAAACAAAATTTTGTGAAGTTTACTCTCGAGGCTCGACCAGCTTCCTGGAAATTGCAGATAAGAATAAATTATGTTTTCTTTTCATCAGCTTTGGTGCTACTTACTACAGCGCTTAAATAAGGCCCATATTTACCGGATGAAGCACCTCAGCTTGTAGCGTGTATAAGATAAAACCCTTCTTCTACGTGCTGTGCGGAAAAGTAGCCGCATGGAACCACTCAGCGCAATATCATGGGTGCTCAATTTAAACGAATATTTTCTCGCTTTATCTTTTTTTACTTAGATTAAACTTTGCATATTCCAAATTATTGAGGCGTAAACTCGTTTGTTTGAGTGACCTTGTATAGTATAACTTGAACAACCTCAATGCGAAATTTGCAGCTGAATTGTAGTCAAAACGACGTTTTTCTCTACTTTACGTTTAATATCAAAGAAACCTTTTCTTATAAGGGTATAAAGGTATTGCATGCATAAAATATACGTACCCAATAGGCTGAAAACTCTTCTACTGCGGTTATACAGAAGAGTAGATTGAAACAAAACTACCCTGAAAACGGCCCAGTTTAAGCTTGTTTTTATAGACTAAATACAATACAAAAACATATTTATTTATTTTTTTATTTAAATTTCGCCTCGTATTATATACGAATGCAATTAAATTCAAACAAAAAATTAGGCATTGCTAAATAATTAATTCTATATATTATATATATGTACCATTTTGTCACGAATGACAGGCGCAGAAGCGGCGAAAAACCCGTTTTGAACCAAAAGTTTTATGGGGGGCGAACTTGTGCCAAACAAAATAAAGAACGAGCGTCCAGACAGCAGAAAGGTGAGCGGCGATTCGGCGGCGTAACAGCAAGCGAAAGAGGGAGTGACTCGACAAGGTCCCGCGAAGTATCTCGAAACTTCGTCCCAGAAGGTTCGAGCGTCGAACGTTTGGGGCGAGATTGGGCAGGCACTTTTGAGAGCAAGGAAGTCGGACGAAACTTTTACGTTTACGTCCCGAGCCTTTACGTCCCGAGTAAAAATAAACATGATTCTCCTAGAAGTCTGTGACTGAGCTTGGCACGTTAATTCGGTCCTGCGTGCGGCAATATTTCGAGCTTTTTTGTAAACTTCAAACAGTGCTAAAAAAAAAACGGTTTTCACCGCAAACTTTCGCGGGAGTGACTACTTAGACCGGCAATCTTGGCGGTGCGGAATGCACGTTGCAAAAGAACTGTGGGAGCTCGCCGTCAGCACACGCTCAGCAGTCGCGTACGCAGCTATGGCCGCCAGTGAATGTTGCCTATAGTCTGTTGCAATATAACATGAGCAGTTCAATATATGACTTGAGCTCAATCGATCTACTTTCCGTACCATACGATGCACGCGCGGCCCAAGCACAACGGCAGGCAAGAAGCGCGTAATAAAAACAACGCTTGTGCTGTTTTTTTAGGTGTCCGTCCGGCGTCCGTGCTGACATCGATCTTGCTGGTGCTCGTGCTCGTGCTCGTTAGCTCACGTGCTCGTGTAGGGCAAAAAATAAAAAAAAATGATGAAAAAAAACTGTTTGCCGAGTCGACAGGATTCGAGCCTGTGCGGGGAGACCCCAATGATTTTCTAGTCCATCGCCTAACCACTCCGCAACGACTGCGGGACGAGTAGGAGGCTCTGAGATATGGTAGTAGCTCAATAGCTGGGGATGTCATGGATGAAACGTTGCATGTAGCCGCTCAACGTCTATACAGGAGAGGGTGCTGCGGTCAAGTGCGTATATAGTCGCGTTAAACTTTGCATGAATTGGCTGAACGTATAGACGAGAGGGCGCTGCGGTCGAATGCTCAAATGCGTATATAACCACGTTCCATAACGCACATTCTTTTCCTGACATAAAACGTTGACCTAAGCAGTGGAGATGCCTTCCCACGGCTTCTAGCGGATCCAAATTGATTCGCTAGAAGAACCACTGGCTCTGCATTTCACCGATCATAAAGCAGTAATAATGAAGTCGAAACGCAACCCGAAACTCAGCACTACCTATGAGAAATAAAAAAATGAGCACCATCAGCACTACCTATGAACAAAATCAGCATCATCAGCACCGCCAGCTTCGCCCAAATCAACATCATTCACATTGATGAGATGCGGTCAATTTTAACAGGACACTGAAGCTAGGAAAGAAAGCTTTTTTTTTCTACTAGGTTAGGACAGGCATCCCTCAAATAAAATGATCGTAAAAAAAAAGTTTTTTTTTTTGTTTAATATTTTTGCTACAATAACAATTTTTTTTTTCTTTTTCAATTGGAGACCGAGACCGAAACTGTGCCTCTGTGGGATGATGATGATGGCGTTTGTACCCAACTAGACATGGTATCACTCGGGTGCGCATTTAAAAGCATGCTTCAAAGGCTCTGGTTGTGCGATAGTGGAGCACGGCGACGGTTTGCTAAAATATAGAGACAGACCTGATAAAATGTTATGTTAAAATGACCCAGTTCTTGCGAACCGCGGCAGGCCAGAGTATAAATTGAGTGGCGCGATGGCACAGAGTATGTCTTTCTGAACATTAAAAAGTTGAAGTTAGCACATATTATTGGTCTCCCCCCTCGTCCGTCTCTAAAAGTGCTCTCATGATAGCACTTTGAGAACATGCATGTTCGCAAAGTACCGAAAAATATCGCACCCCTATCTTTCGTATGATTTGAAAGTGTTTTATAAACACCGAAATAAAGCCCACTTCTAGTGAATACAGGACGCACACCAAATGGGACCTCGGCAGAAATGATGTTTCTTCGCCACAGTGGAAGGTAAGCGACCACTGCTGATTGGGAAGGAGAGTTTTTGGATCATCATCCTTCGCTTTGATCACAAGTCTCGCTGGTAACGAAATCTTAGACTAGCATTTTTTTTACTTTCTTCTTATGTCGCGGCGAAGCTTAGCCCATTTCTCATTTACACCCCATTTGCTTTCAATTTTAGGTTCGCTATTGCTTGTGATATTAAGTATGCAATAGAAGGCCTGTGACTCTAGAAACGCGTACAATCATTTTTTTAAACCTTTGTTTTCAAAATACATGTCAACGTGACCCAAGCATGGTGGTGTTAAAGTCAGAAATTTCACTTTTTTTTATTTTGAATAAAGTCAGAAATTAAATTTTTTCTTAACAATAGTGAGCATACCTAAGACATCACACGCGTTTTCCTTTAACCTAAATACAATAACTTGTATATTTATTATTACAAAATTGTAGCAATTTTAGGTATCAGTTAAATATAATAGTTGTAGCTAGTTTTTCAACTTTAGTCACACAAATATAGCCGTGTTAAGGATCAAAATTACCTTTAAGTCTCTTGGACAGTTTCTCTCGTACAAACCATATATGTCCATAGCTTGGCAAATATGGCGGAATGGTGTTGTCCTGCTTCCAATTTTCGCACACATAATCATAAAAATCATCACATGGATTTTTACTTCTGTTAACTGCACGGCTAAGCTTTATGCCTGTAAGAGTATAAAATACATTTCAGATAATATAAATCTGGAGGGATTATCACGCGGCAAAAAACAAGTCCGTTCTTACCCATCTCTTTACACTCAGGCGTTTGGCATACATTATCATGGGGATCCTGCTGCACTGCATCTGAAATATCGTCGCGCAGTTTTATTTAGAGAGATTTTTTACTGCTATAGACGTTTGCAAGCAGCCGCACCTCGAAAGCTACTCTGGCCACCGTGTATGAATAACGTTTTGTTTGAGCGCCAGTCTGAAAACCGTGGGTGCGCTCCAGCAGTAATTGACTGCCAGACGATCTACCCACACCAGCAGCAAGATAACAGCGCCCACAAGTCGCACTTGCAAACGCTTATACATACAGGAGATTTTACGAACAACTGTATATACTTGAAAGAGCAATTATAATTAAGAAATATTACCCTAGGATAAAGTTCCGGGGAGTAGGTCATGTGGACAATGTAAAGTAATACTTAACAATTTAATTCTTAAAAAACCTTACTTTCGGAAATACTAGTCTTGACTGGCGCATTTCAATTATAAATTTGTCGCCGGCGTGTGAAATGTGCCCTTGTTGTTGTTCAGTATGATATCCCTTATACTTAAAACAAACGTAGAAAAAAAAAAGAAAAAAAAAAAAAGCCCGCAGAGGGCGCGTCGTTTTGCGACCTTGTGACCATTAAATAACGTGACATTGTCAGACCGGCTTCGGTGGCTCACTACCAACGCTACATAGTAACTGGAGCTATTAAATCAGCTGCGCTTAGAGTTTCGGCACTCTGTTCCCCGACAATGTTGTGGGCGCCACCATTTTGGTGCTTGTGCAGAGCATGCACAACTGCCGATCGTCATGATTCAAAAGTGCGACTTCCTCAGCATTAGATTCGGTGTTAGGAAGCTCATGCAACGATTCTTTACCCTGTCGCAAACTGTTTAAACATTTGTGGAGGACGGAAAAGCGTTTTCTGTGCTTTCAGATAAGGCTTCAGATAACTGGCAACCATGATTTTAAGAAACAATATGGTCAAGTGTTGTTATTCTGAAGCGTAGCTTATTTAGTGGCACTAATAATAACGTTGGTAGCGAGTTATTATCATACGCGGAGGGGGAATGGGGGTCAAAAGGCCTCCCTTCGAGAATGATGCTGGCGTTGAAGAAAGGAGAAAACATCGGCCAATATGTGCCTGTGCAGCATCCTATCACCGTCGTGCCCAACCGCGGGAGTTCCACAGGAGACGAAGTGAGAAGGTACTCCCCTTATCCCCTTTCTTCCGTCTTCGGTAATCTTTTGTGATTTGAAGAGCCATATAGATTTTCGTTTCAAAACTGTGTTTTCTATGGAGTAGAATAAATGTATAGACCTTTTCATCTCAGTAGTTGCCTGATCGGCGGATAGAGGACACTGACGCCCTGGCCACCATTATGTTGTTTCGATTTGGTCGCTTTTAGTTTCCACGTGCACATCCTTCCGCGACAGTTTAACTAATGGTCCAGCCGCCTTGACATAGTTGGGGATGAATCGGCGGTAGTATCGCGTCAATCCGAGACATGCGCTAACTTGCTTCTTGGTCCGGGGTCGTTCACCGCAATTGGTCTCCTACAAAGTTTGCGAGTGAGGCCTTACTTTTTTATTCCCCATTTCATGGCCCGAAAACGTTATTCTATTTCTTCCAATTTCAAATTTTCTGAGTTTCCCCGTGATTCCGGTGCGCCGTATTCGCTTAGATATTTTTTTCCCACGCGGCTAGGTACTACTCCCAAGCTTTGGTTGCTCTTAGCGCTTCGTCGATATAGTGCTGTACTGTTGGGATGTCTGCCAGCAGCGTACTCATAAGCCGATTAAATATGACTGATGCCGCCTTAATTCCGAAGGGCTTAAACCTAAACTGGTAAACCCCGTCTCAGTTAAAAATGCCGTTTTGGCCTTGGAATCCGTCGATAAAAAGATTCGCCTATATCTTTTGGATAAGTCCAGTTTACAAAATAAACATTTCCTGCCTAGATGGGTTCCTCATTTAGAGCCGGAGAGCTGTTAAATTTAACTTCCGTATATCTGACTTCCGCACAGCGACGAGGGGAGAATTGTGGGCGGAAGTCGATCTTTCAATCACCCCCAACTTCAACATCACTTGAACTTCGGTTTTGATTACCTTCCTGATTGCGAAAGGAATCGAGTACTGTAGTGTCTTTACGGTAGTGGACACATGTAACTAAAACTACAGAAGGTTCTTTTTACCCAACAAATCGAATAACACATTTTTGTATCCGTGGACGAGCTCGTTCACCTCAGCGCCCTGCTCCTAGGTTAACGGTTCTGACCGGGTGACATTTTCTGGTCCCTGGGTCCTCCTGACGCTCATTCAGGGAAGCTCCTTTCTATCATCACAATACTCGATTGCAACATATGCGTTGACATGCACCTTGCTGGCTGTTTAAACTGCTCGTTCCTCACATCCTTTCAACATATAGACGTGAAACAGCTTGCGCGTGTGACCGGAGTCTAGAACGTAGTGCACATCCATCTTCTTCTCCACCATCAAGTATGGACTTTTCTATTGTATCAACAGCTTGTTACTGCTTCTAGGGAAAATAATCAACATTCGTCCTCACACTTCTAGCTGTCATTCTTTTACCTTCTTATTGAAGGATTTGCTCTGCTTTCGCTGAGACTCCTGCAGTTTCTCCTACACTGACTCAGTGGCTTGTTTCAGCTTGTGTCTGAAATCAAGCACGCATCTGTACGTTGGTTGGACATCGTAGCTTAAGTGGTCTGCGACCCATATTACCTTTAGCACTGAGAGACCTCTAAAACGGTGGCCGTAGCTGAATTCAAATAGGGAGAACTCCCCACTTGCCTGAAGAACCTCACGGTACACGAAGAGAAGGGGGCTAAATATTTGTCCCAAGAATGAGGCTTGTCCATGCACATTCTTTTAAGCTTTTGATTGGAGGTCCGTTAATGCGTTGGACTATCCCTTATCCTTATCTAATGATTTAAACATGTCAACGTGTCTAAATCATCAACATGCTCCCGGTCACGAACGAACGGATCTGTACAATATAATAAAGAGCATAGTTTCGTGTCCACTGATGTGCTTTTCAAACACCCATGCTCTTCAGGCTTATCTTTTGGCTGGAGTGCCAGTCGAGACGTGTGTACGACCTTTCATAAAAATGCAGAGTAATTAAACGGGCGATAGTTTACAATGTTATGAACGCCTGATTTATGAATCGCAAGAACTACAGAGCGTTTTCAGTCAGATGTAAATATTCCAGTACGCAGTGATGAATTAAAAATATGCTCTGAAAATTGTATGTTCATAAAATTAAAACTTGTTCAGCACACACTTCTATAATAAAACTGGGAATTTCAACTGCGCTAGCAGGCGGTTTAAATTTCATACTACGAATGCTTTCCTTCATTTCGACTTCGTCAGGGGAGATAAAACAAAACAATTTGGATTTGCCTAGGCACCTTGAGCTCTCGCCACGGACTGCTACAGACAAAAAACAGGATTTAAATTGTTCTGCAAATACGTCGGCAATTTTGCATAGATCAATTGTATAAACAGAGTCATTTTGTATTCGGACCACTTTAGCAGCTCGTTTCCTTTTGACAGTGCACATTTCCGAACAATTTCGGGCCTGGTATACATATCGGACTCAAGCCTAGCAAAATGCAAACCTTCGTCTCGTCTAAAGAGCGCTTCGCCGAAGTGCGACATCACTAAATTTGGCGTGCTACTTGTCCAGCCCCGAATTTTTAAAGAGTTACTGATAACAAAGCTTGCGTTGCAAGCCGCGGCTCATGTCAGCTCAGCTTACCTTAGGCGCAGAGCTGTCGATTGCGCTCAATACTACCTTTGTAAGAGCTTCAACAGCTGTACCATCTCACTCTTCATTCAGGATCGGCTTGCAGCCATAGCACTGAAGTTATTTATATATATTAAGGCTATCACCACTACTCTGCAATAAGTATTCATTTAAGGGTCGGCGATAGACAAAATAAAATAGATTGGCAAGGGCACTAATGCAATGTCGAGAATATTTCCCGCTGAATTCTGAATAGTATCGCGAAGTTCAAAATCATTATGATAAATATAATTCAAAAGGCTTGAGACTTTCAAGGTGCTGACATCATGCTCCACCGAGTCATTACCTGCCAGCCAATTAAGGCCTTGCTGGTTAAAGTGTCCATATATTTGCACACGAATCTTCGTTACGTCGAGATATTGTGCTTTTTTTTTAAATGACGTGAACAACTTCCGAGTCAGTGTGTGGCCGAAAATAGTAGTTTCGAATAAAATAATAAACCGCGTCGCACGACGTAACCCGGATCCGTACGCATTCCGAGTGTGACTCACAATTATCTATATGCTCGCAATGAAAGCAGAGAAACCTCCCCGGCCGTTAGAACACCACCTCTGTATCTCCATCCATTGCTAACATAATAACGGAATTTTCGAAGTACTGACTAACATGGAAGCAAATATTGAGAACTAGGATACTGTCCTCTAGACAAGTCCCAGTAAGGCAAAAATGGCGTATGAATTGACTGCAATTTCAGACATAAATCCAAAAGGTTTGGTCCAAAGGCCATTAACACTCTGGTAATAGAGTGTGCACTCAATATGGCCTGATTAATGATTTACATCATCCGATTCACCCGATTTTACTTCTAGAATGTCAACAATGGACGAAAAAGATACTCGGTGGACCAAACGTCGCGTGCGTTAATATCGTCGAAGTCATTATTCTCGACAGACACATGAAAGGACGGACATATCTCTCATATTTTGTTTGTGACAAGCTTGGTGCATGTGACTGACTTGCCTTTCAAAACAACTGCCAGGGAGTTAGTTCACTGAAAGTTAAAAACATTCAGAGCGTGGAAAATTTGAATAACTTTGTGATAGTTTGCCGTGAAATATATTACTGCACTGGCCAATAAACTTGCTATTGAGCGAACCACGAAGCAAGAAGCCTGGAATTACAAGTTACGCTCTGTGTTGTAGAAGCTTTGATTGACAATGGGTTCCGTGTGGATTTACTTGGCAGTTATTCGTCTCATTGGTTACAGAACGGTCTCTCAAAAACGCAACAACATACGCTGCGATGCAAGTTTTTTTGTTTGTTTTTTAAGGTGAAACAACTAAATGATTGTTGTTAATATCATCATGGTCTACTTGCAAATTGGCGCATAATACCATTGATTTCCGCAGTCCTTGAACTGGCGAATGCTGTCACCACGAAGATCAGTGCTGCTATCCTTCGGTCCATGACAAACAATTTTTTAAACCTAAGAGATATCCAAAAACCAATGTTCAGTGAGGTGCTTCTTGAATTTCTGTAGAACCATTTCTAAGACTGAAAAGAGCATGCGTAATATATTATCAAAATCCTAAAATGCTCGATTATTATTTCATGTTTTCAGCAAAACTATCGCATAAAGATTAACGCACCTTTGAATCTTGTACGTTTCCCCGTCCAGTAGCCACTGGAATCTATTCTTCAGAAGGTCTGTTTTGAGTCCAGCGTGCTCATCTCACGCATTTTGTTGCTGACTTTAAAGGGCAACCAGGATATGATGAAACATAACCTTTAAACAAGTGCAAACATATCTGCGTTCTTGGGAGATGCATTAAAATGGCAGGTGTTCCTGCACCTAAAAATGCTTTCACGATTGTTAAGTTTTTTTATTAGTTTTTTTATTATGACGTCTTTCTTGGAAATTTTGAGCAAACATTTTTTATTTTTATAGGCGACGTTTTTTTTATATTTTTATTTTTTATATTTTTATAGTGTGTATTTTTATATATATTTTTATATATATATATATATAAAAATATATATATATATATATATATATATATATATATATATAAATATATATAAATATATATTTATATATATATATATATATATACCCACGTGGAGAATAGTGCCCCGAAACATTTTTCCAACACCAAATCAAATGTTGAACACCAAATTCTTTAACTGCTGTGCTGAGCAAACAAATGTAAACCACCCAGTCTAAACATGAAAACACTATACTGGTTTTCACTTCAAGAACCGCAGTAAAAAAAGCCCGGCTCCTAGCAGAGCATTACTAGCTTTTCCCTTTATGTCGACAATTAAGATACATGCAGGTGAATTTTAGATTAGATACATATGCTATCTTATCAAGACGTTCACGTTTCAAACGCCGAAACATTGATAATCTAGTGAGTGCGCAGGCGAGCTGGTGGATGTTAACCATTTTGTTCTTAGCCCGAGACTTTCCACTTTTCCTGCCTCAGTCTCAGGCTAAGAACAAAATGGCCGAAACATTGCTCTTTCCTCCGACAACCAAACCTTGTAAGAGCTACTTCGTGCGGCGTAGGAACAATCAGAGAAACTTCAATTTTTCTTGATACGGGGACCGGTGTAAGGGCTTAGTCTACCGGTGGTCTACCGCAAGTACGCTGAACGAAGAGTATAGAGCTGTCCGGCTTAAAGGAGCTGTGCAACGATATTCAGTTGGAATGTTTTTCACTATACACGAGCTTACTGGCACTAGTGGGACTCAAGGATACTCGCACGCAATGCCACTGGCTAAGAAACTCCTTTGTTGCGGTGTAATTTCAAGGACAAAAGCGAACTTTTTCATTTAATCTCTCCTTTGCAAATTTTGATGACGTAACGTGGGGATCGCAGTGCACCCCAAGTGACGATATTTGAATGCGGTTCATAGATTGGACACGAGCATTGCGTGGGAACTCGATTTGGGCTCGTGATAATTACTAGCTCGAGAAGAAATTCGGGGAGTGGCCCGTGTCCAATCGCTGCAACGACGACAATAGCCGAGCCATAACAATGTCTGAAACTGAGCGCGTGTTCTGTGCTTTGCCAACCCCAGCGCGTGGCTATGGTCAACATTGGCGGCATATCATCGGTTCCAGATCACGTGGCCACTTGTTCTGGCTTCGAGTTAAGGGGGTGAACGTTCTCGTTTTTCTTTAATTTTTTTTCTGAGACTTCTGTTGTGTGAGGTGAAAAACGAACGGGTGTTTCATAGGTCATTAACATCAGGGATCTGTTCGAAGTGGTATTTGCGCAAAGTATAAAAATTGTTGCATCGCCCCTTTAAGTTTTGCCGCGCCGCTCCTTCCCCTGTCGACACGCGCCCTTATATAATTAGGCGTACGTTTGAGTGGAGCAGGCGACTCGGGAGGCTGCTGCGCTGGTGTGGGCCTCGCGCTTTGCAAAACAACATGCCGAAGGTAAAAGGGGAAGGCACCAAGTAATTTTGTGCAGTCAAATGCCACGGCATAACCTTAAACATTAAGGGAAATCTGTCTCCCGAAATGTTCTATTCGTTCAAAAGGAGGTTATTTCAGAAATATCTCCAGAACATAAAATAGGGTTGTCAGTAGTCGTGTGAATCAGTAGTGCAACTACGCTTACTTGTCCTCTTAAAGAAGCCATGAAACGATTTTTCTACTTTTGCTAAGTACTACTATTTCTACTTTCGCTAAATACTACTAACTGAATAAGCTTGCCTTAGTTTTTTCTGTCTATGCAATGGCAGTCGCCAAATGATTTCAGGAAATATGAGCATATTTTATCTCCTCAACTCGGAGAAAGTGCAAGCGGCCACGTGACCTTTTGACTATCACGTGCCGCCAACGTTAATCATAGACACGCGCTGCGGTTAACGAGGCAGAAAACGCGTGCTGAGCTCCAGGCATTGTTAGACTTCGGCTATTCCTATCACTGCAGGTGCTGGACACGAACCGCTCCCGAGTGTCCGACGAGGCATTTATGGTTCCGAGCCGAAGTCGAGTTTTTGCTCAGTTCCGTGTCCAATTCATGAACCGCGCTCGACTGCCGTCATGCTTGTTGTTTTAATCCCACAAATCCGTCGTCGAGCTCTGAAAAAGCAAGACTGAAATAAGTAGTCCCCTTTTATCCTCGCAATTTCACCTCGAGAAAGAAGCTTTTTTAAGTCTCTGCAAACTCATGATCATTCCAACCCGAATTTGTTTCATGACCCATTTAAGAAGATTTCACAGTAGAAGAGCCCATGCATTTTTTATGACAAATTGTCGTACTTATTCTAAGCAGCTACTGAACCCATTGGCGTCGGAGTGGTTGATTTCAAACGACAATAATAATAATAGAAGAAGACTTCACAACTTCGCGGAATTACATCTTTAGATTTTGCTTTCAATAATATCTTACGAGGCCTCAAACTTGTAATAAAAATACTTTATTTAGCTTTAACTTTTAAGGGTCCCCGATTAAATTAAAATAAAAATAAAACTTGAAGTAGTATGTTGCAGTTTATATGAATTTCTGATTTTATATCTGCAAATATAATTCCTCGAGGGATTGCCGTCACGAAATGCTACACATCAGGCGGCAGTGATAAATGAGTCCGTGCAGCGCTATATTCATCCGCCGCGAGAAATTTACAGCGTGCTGTGGTGTGGTTCATTTATGTTCAGCAACCTAGGAAGCGGATTTTCTAGACGTGTCTTTTTCTGCTTCCGGCTACGGGCAGCGCGTGATCTAGAGTCTGCATTCCATTTCACTGACATCTACGCGCCTCTGGTCAGCACTGTGAATATTACAACGCGCCGATGCACTGAGGGGAGGAGACGAGAGAGCGCGGGGACGTCAGAACAATGAGGTCTGATTAGGATTATTTGTGGCAATACCTAAAGCTACCTGCCTTTGTCTCCACTGCCATAGCCTCCTCTACACTCGCAAAACCTGGCAGTTCGACGACGGAGCCATAGGGTGCCCGATCGCAGGTTTGGAGCGCGAGGGTCTGGTAGCAGAGAGCATCAAAAAGCCATTTCTGAGGGAACCTGCACGTCCGCGCATCCTTTGGAGGACGAGGACCCGAAACACGCTTGTCCGCTCACAAGACGTGTGTTTCGGCGCCTCGCCGCAGCGGGGCGCAAGTCACGTGACTCTCCTTTCATCCGTTGTGTGCCGCTCCATATTTTCCATTTCGGCAGCTGCTTCTTGTGGTCAGAGCCGTAAATGTAGAGAGTTTGGCCATTCGTTGGGAAGTATAGGAGACAAATGAGGATGCGCCATTGGCCGAAAGCGGGCTGGGCGCGTTCCAGGGCGTCTTCGGAAATTTGAATGTGTCCAACCAGAAGCCGGAAATAATACCCTGGTGGTGGTCGCGAGAAACAAACCTGATAACTGCAATGGAGTAACTCTCAATGGCTGAAAATATGGTACACGTGATGTTTCAATCACGTTAATCCAAAATGATGGTGGAAGAGTGCGACTAGCGGAACGATCGACATAATCCGTACGCCGAGCGCCGAGGCCGGGAATCTGCCGTCCGAGCGGTCACACTTTGTCCGTGCAAAACAGATTTGCGCGGCGCATTCGGTTCTTACATCTTTCTGCATAATCATGATCAAAACAACCAGTGCACCCCATTTTCAACCACAAAGAGTTACTACACTTCACTCTTACGCGCTTATTAAAACCATATGCGAACATAGACTTTTGATCAGAACTGTTTGCCGCTACCACCGCTAGGGGATTCTTTTCGGCTTCTGGTTGGTCAAGAGAGCATACCAAGCCCTCTTTCCAACTCTGCCGCACGCCCTGACTCTGCTCGCGCCTCCCATTGACCAAACTCTCTACATATACGGCTCTGCTTGTGGTGACCTGCCAGGCCTCGTCAGTATACAGGAGGCTATGCCACTGCACTTGTCGAACCTTAAGAACTCGTAACGCGGAGTCGTATAACTTTCGTCTCCACCGCACTCGTTAAACCCGTTAGAATGCAGAACGCTGGCGTCCTGCGTTTGGCTTTCGTATTCTAACGTGTTCTTCGAGTAAAAAAGAATTGGTTGTGAGTATGTAACAGCCTTAAAGTCAGTCTGCCTTTAATGAACGACTTGTCTCTCAGCTGTAGATAGCAATTTAGCCTGTTCAGTCCCACCGCTAGCCTGGGGTCTTTAACGTGCACCACGCAGTAGTGATCCATGACCGCACGCCGGTACGATGCTCATCCAGATCGAAACGGGCAGGGGTGGGGATTGAACTTAGGATTCCTGGGTTCTGCAGCGCGAGCTTTCGCTCCAGGTGCTCCGAGCTGGTGTGCGGTAGACCACTCGGCTTGCGATCGTCCTTTCGATGAGTGAAATTGAGAAAAAGGCAGCTATCGTTTGTTCTACCCGCTAGTCGTTGGAACCAGAGACCGGCGTTCTCAGGTCTCCGCGCACTCTGGTATCCTTCCGTGCGCTCTCGGATCATTAAGGTCT